ACGGTTTCGCTCATGACATCATTGAGGTGCTCAAGCTCCAGCGCCCGACAAGGCGGTGATCCTTTGCTGGAGGGGCAACATATAGCATATAGATTTCTCCTTACCACAGCACGCAGTAATACCATCATAGCAGTGGTTTGGTCCCACTTTTGTCTCAGCCTTCTCACACGATGTCATGGTTCCTCTGATGCTGTTGTGTGCTACAGTAATGGAGAATGTGATTTTTTTCATGCTGAAAATAATTGGTTACTAACCCCATTTCCTGCTATGATTCAGAAATAGTTTAAGCACAGATGTCTCATGCCACCTTATTGCAAGAATATTTAGGTGATCCCTCGTAGCCCGAGGCTGATGGTCCTCCAAGTGTCGTGTCTTGGTGGTGGGTCTGTAGGTGGCTGTGGAGCCCTATTCTTGATTCGCATGTTTTCCCACAGTGAGGACATCGGTTTCGGGGTAGAAGGCAGTCCCAGTAAGGGTTGGCTTGATGTGCCTTCCTTTTGGCACATTTCTCCCTTTCCCCCTCCCTTCGTATTTCTTCAAATTCTGCAGCACTGCTGGTCACAGCTGACTTCCAGTTAGAGCACTCAAGGGCCAGAGCTTCCCAGTTCTCGGTGTCTATGCCACAGTTTTTAAGGTTGGCTTTAAACTCATCTTTAAATCTCTTTTCCTGTCCACCAACATTGCATTTCCCATTCTTGAGTTGCGAGTATAGTAACTGCTTTGAGAGACATTCAGACAACGTGACCAGTCCAGCGAAGTTGATGGCGAAGGAGCATAGCTTCAATGCTGGTGGTCTATGCTCCTTCCAGCATGCTGACATTTGTCCATCTGTCTTCCCAAGAGATTTGCAAGATTTTTCAGAGGCAACTCTGATGGAATCATTCCAGGAGTCGAGTGTGATGTCTATAGATGTTTCACAGGCATATGACAGGGTTAGGAGGACAATAGCTCTATAAACAAGCACCTTGGTCTCCATATGGATGTCCCAGTCCTTAAACACTCTCTGCTTCATTTGGAAAAATGCTGCACTCGCAGAGCTCAGGCAGTGTTGTATTTCAGTCAAAATGTTGAATTTTGTGGAGAGGTGGCTGCCAAGGTCGTGGAAATGATCAACATTTTCTAATGTTACAGCATTAAGCTGTATTTCTGTCATTGCAGAGGGATTATCTGGTGACTGCTAGAAGAGCACTTTATTTTTCTCAAAGTTCAGCGAGAGCCCAAGCTTTTCATTTGCTTCTGCAAAGGCGTTTAGAGTGGCTTGTAGGCCTTCTTCTGAATGTGCACAGACTTCGTTATCATCAGCATACCAGATGATCAAGATGATCAAAAATAATAAATTAATGGTTGGTTGCTTCTTCCTTAGGGATTCCCAAGGATATCTTTAGCAGGTTAGCCTCAGACAACTTCCAGTGCTTGAGTGGAGAGGACAAGAGTTTCCAAATGAATAGCTTTGTTTTCTGTAGTGTACATTCTCAAAAACCTTGTCAGAGTCTTTCTATTTTTAAAATATATAAATGGTTTGTTTTTATGCTGCAATAACCTGTTAGTCATTAAAAGTCGCGATTCAGATGCCTTGACTTCATGGGGATGTTTCCCAAGGATTTCTTCATTGCTTTCCTGTGGTACCACACAATCTTAATATTAAAAATGTTTTTAAATAATTGTGAGTGCTATGACATCTCAATGTATCAATGAAATGTTTTTTCAGCAGCCAACCTGAAACAACTGAGTAGTGAAATATGCAATTTGATTTTGAAAAGATATAAAAATGGCAGGGAGTGGTGGGTCCGTTTCTCTTCTAATGTCACTTCTCACAGCACTGCCATGATGTCATGTTGTAAGAGTGTTTTATGGCTCAATGAGTGTGAGTAAAGTGCTTTTGACCAGGACAACCTCTGTGCCAAGCACTTTTATTTTTCATAGGAGAAAAATATCAAAAACCGCAGTGGGCAGTGGGTCTGTTTCCCTTCCTGTGCCACTTCTCATAATGATGTGGGCAGTAATGGGTGTAATGTCATGATGTCATTAATGGTGTTTTAGATATATGCAAACTAACATAACGGTGGGGCAAATGTGGTGGTGATAATGGCATTGGTGCAGATGGAAGAAAACTGTACAAATATGGGATTACAGAGCAAATGTAGCAAAGATATGATACTTAAAGTCGCCAACAGCTATTGTTGCAGAACAGCTGAAGCAGTTTCTGTATGGTATACTGTAGCAAAAGCATGGGCAAACTTTCTAATTTGGGGTTGCATGGTGGGCCGGGGTGGGGTGGGCAGGAGGGAGGGGGTTCTCCCCAAGCCCCCACCCTGCCCTTTCCTCCCCTTCCTCTTCTCTTTTGGAGGCAGAAAGTGAAGCAAAGACGGGAAACGTTTGGATCTCAGAAGGGTTGGCCTTGATCAGGTTGAGATGGTGGGTGGGAGAGAAGAAGTGTACCCATTAGACTCTTTATAATAGTTTTTATTAAGGTTTTAAAAATAACATCGAAAGAGGGAGAATATTAAAAAAGATGATAGGAA